TTGAAAAAGATGCTTTCCCTGTTTGGAGAATACGAGAACGATTGAATTGACACCGCGGGGAATCTAGAAAATGAAAGAATCCTTCCGTTTCCACATCCAATTTAATTTGCAAACATGTTCTAGAACCAATTATTTTAATTGAACTAATACGTTCAGGCTAACATTTTAGTAATTTACGCACATTTCGAAATCAAAACCAATTATTACGTGAAGAAGCATTACGATTATCTGCAAGTGACATTAGTAATTAAATGCGTGGTGCTTACAACCCCTCATTCTACAAAACATATTATGTAAGTACTATTAAACCGGATACTAAATATTAATTAACAATTAGAAGTTTTATGGATTTTGTTTAATTCTGAAAGTATTTCATAAGATTTACATAATTCAGTAATTTATAATTTTGGAATTACCTTGTGTTACGTTTATAATACGAATAAACGAAAATTTTCGTTTAAAATAAATGTCGATATTCGTTTCGCGAAATTGTTTAAAAACACAACGTACGATGTAAATATGTACAAATTTTCTCTTGATACTTTCAAAAAAGATTTAAAAAAAAATGTTTAAATAAAAAAAATGAAGAAACACGTTTATCAAACATTGAATTAAAATTATTCTAAAAAAAATGCAGTTTAAAAAACTTTCACAACTAGAATCAATAAATAAATACAACAAAAAGAATGTTTTTAAGTGTTCGTTTGATCTTACGATTGCATCATTACGAAATCCAAGGAAAAGAAAAAAAATACAGAAGTCTTTTTTGTAAATAAACAAGGACGGTGTTTATTTTTAAGATTTTGATATATTCCATGAAATATTCAGAAAAATAAATCGTTGTTACATTATGCATTCATTCATTTCATAAAAATATACTGAATGACCTTAAAGTTTCGGTATTAATTTTAAACGATATAACATTTATAAAACTATATTACGTATTTAAAAGAATAATGCTTGAATGCAAATTTATAAATTATATAACTAAAATTGGGTTGTAAATTTACAAGGTAACAATCACTCGCTATAATTTACCTTATAACTGACGTTGTCGACAATACGTTACGAGGATTATCAATGGAATTTCGAATGACAATTACTGCAAGGACAGAATGTAACGCTGCCATCACAGAACATCTCCATTAATAATTCAAATCAAGCTGCTTTGTAAACATTTGCTGTGTATGTATTATTATTTTCGGCTTTCATTAATACTAATGTAAAATATACTAATTAAAATATATATTTATATTACTTCCATGAAAGTTTCTTTATAAATATATTTTTTACGAAAAAGTCTATATCAAAATTATTTATTGATTTAATGTTTTCTTCCACTTCATCCATATACCGAGTCATGAGCCGTTCTATAAACCTTTTTCCAACCGTCGCCCGTTTAGTAATTCTCTTGGGGATTCTTCCTCCCTCGGTCCACATGACCCATCCAACGCAAGCGATCGATATTTATGAATTTGAAATGAATTTGGGATGTCTGGATCCCCATATGATGTACGTAATTTAAAGTTATAGCGTCTTCGCCATTGGCTATGTTCCATCACGCCTCCAAACATGTGTTGTAGAATCTTTCCTTCGAATGTTGCTACCAATCTTTCATAATTCTTGCACATTTCGGAAGTTTCGTGTCCATGCGAAAGAACCGGTAGCAATAAAGTTTTATATATTTGACAGTTTGTTTTTGTTGACAAACTGGCAAATCTTAATTGGGTCATCGACTGTAGTAAGATTTTGTTTGTTAGAAAAATTTTTCTTTTGATCTCTTCGGGGATGTTGTTATAGAAAGTGTTTTGCAGATCTCTTTTTAATGGGCTTGTCTGGATATATTTTGTTTCATTTGAATTTAATTTAGCTCACTTTTATGCGCTGCTTTCTCTAGTAGGCAGAAGGCTTCTATCATGTCTATTCTTGACCTTGCAATGATGTGAACATCAACAAAAGCCAGTACTTGCACGTTGATCTTGATAGTGTCTGTGGTGCCCGCATCCCGTAGGCCCTTCTCGAGTACCATGCTGAGACATTCATTTATTGTGAATCTTGGTGTTGTTTCATTTTGTATTCTTACCATCTCTTTCCACCCTCAGTGTTTGTTCTATCAATATTCATCAAGAATTTCCTCGAGATGCTGTCATAGGTGTTCTCAAAATATTACGATATATGTATTATATTAACGATAAACAAATGGCGAGTTTGTCTTTTAAAAAATTTGATACATTGCAAATAATTGGTCGATCATGGACCTCTGCCTCTAGAACCCGCATTCGGGTAGGATAATAGATAAGTATCCTGTACGCCGAGTTGAACAGAGTGAGTACTCTATAATAGAAACAACTTCAAAATGAATCTCCAAATCTGTCTTCCGATGAAACTGAATTTTTAAAAGAATTGTCTTGTGATAAAAGCTTGAAAATAGAGTTTTGGGTAAATAACCCAACTCAATTACTTAGCGAAAAAGGTTGATGTTCCTAACTCCATTGTTAATAACATTTAGTCGTAAATCTCTTCTTCTTTGTGAAACCGAATTTTCTGTATTGGTGATAATGAAGAACTTCGAATTCACCAAATTTACACATTTCTTCACAATGATTTATGACATTTTACAATTTTTACTTACATAATTGTGATCGTTAAAGCAGCCATAAGTGGAACGCAAAGATATAACTTTGAGAACTTCTCCTATATTTTATATATGAGTAAATACTCAAAATATTCGCAAATCAAATTTACACAATGATAAAAACTGATAAGTTAGTCACTTGCAATAAAAAGACACCACGATGTATTGTATGATAATCGTTATTTATGCATCAAAGCAGTAATATTCAATTCATTCTATAACCAAATATATGTTTAAATCTAAATCGGTTAAAATTTGTTGCATTGAAATAAGTTTGAAGAGATTAATTCGCACCTAACAACAACGATATATCGCTTTATGCTTCCGTAAAGTTTTAAAAAAATGGAAAGTTTTGATTCTAGTACCCAAATGTTGCTATGAAGTAATCTACAATGATATCTTGAGAACAATCAACCTAAGATGATAGAAAGATCTTACAAATTCTTTTGTAGGAAGTTGCGTTTGACGGATTTGTTTTGTAGGATTTGACGTCTATCCATTACGAACTAACAATTTGTCGTGTCAAACTCTAATCATTTTTTCATGTTATTTGTTACATGCCAGATTTTGGACAAAACATTTTTCTCTCAAAACATTTCTCCCTAGCATATCATCGAATATCTAGGTCCTACGTAACCTGGCTTATTTACAACGTAAAGTTTCTGATGTGCCTTTAAGACCGCGTTAGACAAAATAGTAGTAAAACCAAATCTTACTCTACTTCATCTTACAATTTACTGTAAATTTGATAAAACTTGAAAAACGGACGTGAACAAAATTTTCTTTTGATAGCACATCTTTGGATTTAGACTGGAGTCATTAATGAATTTGCAGATGTTGGGTTGGGTTCTAATGTAGCTACAATTCACTCATATTACCACTTTTAATACGTATTCATTCAAGTATTTAATTTACATTCATTCCATCGTTTGGAAAGAGGCTAAAAATGGAGTCAAGATCAACGCATTTAAATATTTGTATTTATTTTTTTGAGTTGATTCCAGCTTGCGTTTGAACAGTTTCGGCTCGGTTCATTCAGTTCTTTCGAGGATTTTAGTTGTTGATGTATTCGTGGCATTATCATAAAAAAGTGCTGCATTCGCATTTAACTGTGAACTGAATGAAAGACATTCCTCAATCCCCGAGTCTTCCACACATTTTACCAAGTTTTCTGGTAATAAAATAGCAATACTCGTTGGAGTTTGGTCAACCCTCTCATTATAGTCAATTTCCTCCTAAAGTTTCGCGATAAAAGAACGCTTCCGGAAAAGAAAACGTAATTATCAAGCTCAATGTTTAGTTAACATCCTAAACAAATTTTAGCACGCTCAGTTCGATTTCAGTTGTCATCTTTAAAAAATCGATCTTGATAAATATAACATTTATTTCAAATGTTGTGAAACTACACACTTTTCTAATAAAAAGTTATTACAAATTCTCAAAGCTGGGGGAATTACAAAAAATTGCATTTCAATATACTTAGATGGTACAAATTAAACACAGTCGATTGCTTTTGCTTTGAATTGAAGCACAAAATACTTGTACGCTATTTTGATCCACACAGAGAATCTAACAATGCGCTATATTTCTTTCATGTGACATTTCAGAATGTTGCGTCTAAGTACAAAAGACACAAATCAATACACGTAAAAGCTGAAACGAGGAAATTCGAAATATTTACGAACTAGCGTTATTCTAATCTAGTAAAGCATAAAGTTTTAGGTAAAATTTATGTTAATAATAAACATGTTGATATGACGTTAATTTATGAGCAGGCAGGTACTACAAAATGGGCTGTCGCTTCCGGACTTCAGACAGAAGGATTTTATGTAAACATGAACCATTTAAAAATAGAAAAATTTTAAAAATTAAAATACAGGTAAATGCTATATATACTATTAAATAATTATTTAAAGTTTGTTTATTATTTCATGTGCTTATGACTGCATTCATTTTTATTAGAACTCCATTAAAATAAATATTTCAACTTTAAAAACACCTCCTGTATATAAAAACAAACATCGATCGCTTAAGGAATCGAATGAAAATGCATTCATTCAATACGATGTTGGTTGCAAAGTAAACAAACCTTCAATGTCTTACTAACAACATCCACTACCTTACAAGGGTTCAAAATAAAAACAACCCCTACGCATACACTCTCTAACCCCATCGAATCAATCAACGTCCCCCATAAATATTGATGCTATGGAAATGATTGTGATTACATCTTAAAGAAGATATCGTTCTTGACATTTCAATTAAATTGTAAATGAAAATTGTAAATTAAATCTAAATTTAATTAAAATAGATGATGCAAATGATTTTTTAGTTTGATGTAGATTTAATATTTCCATTCTTTTAGGTTAAAGATGAAATTTCGCAAACTGAGACAGTCCTAGGAACATTCCTTCATCTTCAACAATACGCGCAACAGATGTTTTACGCCAACTTCGGTATAAATTTTATTCTCTATTGCATAAGCGGCCAGAACTTTCGGAAAGCTGTTAAAAGCTTATTGTTTCCAAGAAAATTCAGAAGGAGAAACACATCAGCTTTAGGTGAGATATTTAAACACGATTAATTTTTTTTAAGATTTCATTTTTTTAGATAGTAGAACTCAGTCTACGTCCACTTCAATGATCATTTCCAAAAAGAAACGCCACAATATTAATATGGAGAATACCGAATCAAATTCTAATACACAAATTATCGGCTTAAAGGGTATCGATCGAGCGTTATATGCCTAGATAATTAAACGTTACTCATTATACAAAACAATCTAGTCTTAAAAATACTTAATTGGTGTTAAAAAATGAATATTATATCATATTAGTTATGATAACTAGTGAATTAGAAATATAATTGTAATCGTAATAAATAATTTTTTGTTCCCGCTAAATTAATTATTTAACTTCCCCAAAATAGTCCCAATTTCACCATCAAAGCGTTCACACGTTAACAATAATAATAATAACGCACCTTAGACTTCAAAGAAAATTGCGTGAGGCGTACGCATAAAAAAAAGAAAAAAACAGAATGAAAAGCAACCACCAAAAGTACCAATTTTACGACCTCTCTCTAATAACTTTCCGGGATTTTGCGGTTCACGCTTAACGCCTCTTCCCAAAAAGAGTACATAAACGGGATCATAAATTGGCCCTATATACACGTCCTCCGGAAACTCTTTGAATAAATTTGGCCGGACAGAATGGTTTGGAAGCAAATGAAAAAAAAATTTGATTCATAGAACTTTCCTCAAAGACTCGTCTCGTCTCGTTTCGAGTTTATAAAAGTTTTTTAAGCCTTTGTGTGGATGATGGGATGAGTTTAAAACTAAGCAAAAAAGGGAGAAAAATAAAACTTTAACGCGAAAAATGTGAGCTCGTACGGAGTTCTAGGAAATGCTCAACTTCACCACCGGTAATGGAGAAAATATTGGGTCGTTTATACCGTGATTGTCGACGGAATATTTTCCTTTTTTTGATTTGAAAAAGATTGAAATTGGATGGGGACGTAATTTTATTGGAATCGATTTTATTTTATGAAGGTTTAAGCATTAATCCAACGTTTTAAACGAGATAATTTCATTTAGGATTTTAAAGTATTTAAACTAAATTGTTTTGGTAATTTTTATTGTGTTACTTTTCGGCAAATACCACAAAGTTGTAACAATAAGACGTTTATTGTTAATATGTGTAGAAGGATTAATTTTGCTGAATTCGTTTATGTACGTTAAATAAACCTCAAGTTTCGGCTGACGTACAATAACAATAATTACAAACGATTCTAATTTAACATAAAAGCTTTTCTCTTAAAGTTTTCTCCGAAGTGTAGTATTTCATCAGATAATTGAAGTTGAAAGTTAACGTACGGCACTTTATGTAAACTATAAACTTTCTTTAAAAACAAATTCGAAAACGTACGTTGGGATTTAAAAGTTGATTTATCTAAGAACAAATATTTACTTTATTTCCCTTTTTTGAGAATTCGCGTATTTACTCATCAAGTTACAGCTCACCGTTTAAAAAGAAAAATAATGAAGTGAAAAGTAGATGTAATATTAAAGTCAAAATACTCCCAACTTATTAAGCTTTAAAATATCACCCCTTTCATTTCTCCCCTTTAAAGGATTGTTAGTTGACTTCGAAGCAAAGGAAATTATTCGATCTTACACACAAAATAGAATAAGACAGTAAAGGGTACTTACCCAAGTCTCCCTCAGCTAGAGGTCCGACGGCACCAAAGAACCGTTTGTCCAGGAGTTGCAAAAGTTGAAGCGCCGTGTCCCTTACAACGGGTCTTGGACAGCCAGTGTTCATTAAAGCAACATTAATGATTGCGGTGTAATGATCGCAAGGATATTCTCTGTAACAATAGAAAGAAAAATGTCGCATTAAAGATGTATACTTATTTAATTTTTAATCATTAATTAATATCTTTTAAAGGTAAACCAGATTTATCTTATTGCAAAAAAATTCTGCAGAAAACAACGAATTTAATAATAATCAGTTCAATCCATTGTTATATTTATTAACAAAAACAATAAATTGAATTAGAAACAAGCAGCAACACAAATATCAATCCCAATTTCAATTACAACCACTTAAAATATACAGTTTACAGCACTGAAGTATAAAAACTGAGTGGTGCTGACAGGGGTCCACTGTTACGGATTTAAAGTGATTATAATGTGCGCCTGTGGTGACACATTTTACATGTTAACATGGTTTAGGTTTCTAATTGTTCGTAGCAATTTATCGCCTTGTTTAGATGTTTTTATATATTGCAGGAGGTGATCTTATTTGTTTTGTAAGGTGGAACGATAGTAATATAGTAACAATGACAACCAATTATAAGTAAACAATTATAAAATTACCATCCATGGAAAAAATGGTGGTAAATATATTGGTTGTAAAGCATTCAGACATAAATTATTGTTTTATACAAAAATTATAGTATTTGTTCAATGGTAAAAATAGTCTAAATCTTCCTATAACGCTGAAACATCAAACGTCGTCCTATTTCCTCGACTCTTTATATCTATTTAGCAAACAATATGAAATGTAACAATGGGTATTTGTACACTAGTACCAATTTGGAGAACTATTACACTGCGAATGTAAAACAACCGGATCGTACAACTATTATATGACAAAAAGTTTTTTTTTGATGTATATCCGACCACAACATAACCTCAGTTTGATTTTGTATTATCACGTCAACATTGTGCTTATACTCTAAAAAGCAATACTTGTTTGTTATTAGACCGATAAAAATCTTTTGGAGTAGGAAAGTGAAGAAACAGTAAAAAAAATATGCGTAATATTTTATAACGTTTTAGAAGTTGAAAACTGTGAGAGTTAGTAAGGGAAATCATAAAAGGAATGCAGCAAACGAGATCAGTGAAATTTCGTTCATCGAAGAGAAAGTAGAAGGATATTTTTGGAAACACGATAATGAGGGATTGTTCCATTTTCAGGCTGCATTTCAAAGGAAAGAATATTTTCAAGGAATGACTCTATACATTACGGAAAATATGGACACTAATAGACACTTGTAAAAAAACAGTAGTATTGTAGCGTCCAAATACGGCTTACAAGATGTGACGATACATAGTAAAAGATATATACAAGCTTGGTAAAATAGTAGAAGTAGTTTTAGTAGTTTTCATTTTTAACAACGACGTAGTTCAACCATTTTTATAAACTGTAACGTGCTCGTCTTTAATTTTAAAAAGCTTAACTAATTTTATGGTACTTTTCGGAATTAAGGAATGTTCTACAACATAATCTGTCAATCATATAATTATTTTTTGATAAGATGGATGTAACTTCACATTTTTAACGAAGTCTCTGAAGATATCTATAAGGCGAAACTAGTCAGACGAAAAATAAAATTTTTCAACCAGTAACAGTACATTGAAACTGTCTTTTATTTTTGAAATAGTAGAAGACTTAGAACTCAAGTTTTCAGTCAATACGGATTCCAATGTCAAATCTAGAAGCCAAATTTTTTCGATATCTTTAACTACATATGCAATTAATATGTTTTGTACACATAATATAATATGTTTGAGCACAATTGAACCAGTAGTTTTTGAGTAATCATGGATACCAGTTACCAAAATGCTGATTCGAAAAAACTCGCTTGAAGTTTTTGTAACTTTTATATTGTGGAAACTTTGAAATACAAGTATTTACAGTTAATTTGCCATAAAAGAACGACCTGTAAGAAGGATCTTACAGGTCGTACATCATGTTATTTATGTTTCTTGCTAAACGGAGCCAGCGTGTTCCTGCTCGGGTAACGTCGCGGATCTCATTGCGACTGTGCGTTTACTATTCTTATTGACCAATTTTACTCCCGTCACATCCATAATCGTCAATATTAAAGATTATAACAGCTAAGAAGTTGCACCTTCAATTGTCATCGTTTTACGTGTTACGATTTAGAGGCTTGTATTCTCTTTATTTTTGGTATCTTTTTGCATTCTAATCAACAAAATATAAGGTTTAAGATTCAAGAAACTGGAATTTTCTGAATTTTTTCAGTGTCTTTGTTATTCCTCGAGTACATTATAAAAAGAAACTATAACGAATTACATGGGCTATATGTGTGGGGCTTAGTTTTATTGAAGAGTTTCTTATCCGATACTCATAGTTTAAGCTCTTATTATAATTTAATCAAGCTCTTATTATAGCCGGCATTTCACAAAACTGTTCCCATAATTCCTGCAGTAACGGTTTTATTATGTTTATATTTATGTACCTTAAAGGTTGACCACCATCTTTTGGGCACTTTCCAATACACAAAATCATATGAGGTACCTTTTTCTATGTTCCCAATATGCATAAATCTTTATGCAACACTTCTATAAAGTACTTTGACAATTTGATGTACAAAATGATCCTCATTATTTTATTTTATGATACTTCTACACATGTTTCCATTCTTGGGGCAGATAAAAGTTTACATGACAAATGAGATGTAACGGTTATATGCCCGAGGTTAACTGGATAAGGAATGTTCTATGTGTGTATTACATTTTCTAGGAAAACACATGAGACCAACGCTTTCAAAATTTAGATGTTCTTAGTAAACCGACTTTCAAGCAGCTTCCTATCTTATTTGAGAAATGACTATTTGTGAAGATGTCAATTGGATTAGCGATTGTTGAATTAGAAAAGAACATTTTGCAGTAATGCATTTCGAATACAAAAGGCGATTGTTTTCAAATTGCTTTGAGTCTTTCTGCTTGGGATTTTTAGAATTAGATGACCTACTTCCGCATGTTTCATTTAACCGTCCTTTAATCTAAAAATGGAATTTCTAGATCCTTTTAAGTTACTCTCTCAACCACATAATTCGTATTTTACAAAAAGTCTTCCTTTTTAAGAAAAACACTAAGTATATAATATATTTATAACATTTACGAGTTATAGTAAAAAAAAATTATTCTCTTTCTGATTTATTTCTGTATTTTTATAACCTATTTTCCGGTTTGCAAACATAAATTTTATGGAAACAAAACAAAAGCGACATAAGAAACCCCCAAAAACACGCGTGAAATGGCGGTATCGGAAACATATCAAGTTGCTATCGGATTTTGGTGTTATAATAAAAAGCCCTCCGGGGAAATCGGATGAAAATTCGTGCGGAAATAATGCGAGAGTGGACTTCGCACTGTCGATTCAAAGGGAACAGGAAGAGGAAACAGCGGTTGATTTGAGCCCATAAATTTACAGTGATACAATCTAAAAGAGCGCTTTATTGATATATTACGGGCGAGGAAAAAAGATCAATCTAAAATCTGTCGACACGTTCGTATTTGACCATTTCGAATGTGGGGAAATAACATTCGTTATAAGTTTCCTTTTCTATTAAATAATGTAATATTCCAAACCATTTTTAAAGTTACATTGCTACATTGCATATGACAGTTCATTTTTCACCTCAAACCCCATTATTTATTTTCGTTTCAAATTTTTGTCGACAAAAACGTCTTTTTATATGCAAATTACATCACTGCACTGAATGCACCGAATTATTAACAAAATAAATTGTTACATAATACATATTTCATCGTAGTTTTTGTTTTAAAACTAAAATCCTTTAAACATCTAACAAACCACGTCTTTACTGAATTCCACTTTGACGTGAACTTGGAAAACTTACGAGGAATTTATTAAGAGAAGCTTCCCGACGCGACTAGATCCAACCTGTTCATGCAAATTTAGGGGAGAAGCCTGACTGGAGTTAACCGAAATTATGCAGCAGGAGAACATGATGCATTACCGCGACCTACGCGACCATTTTAATTTATTTTTGACTACATTAAAAATGTTATGAAATGGCCAGATGTTTTTAAAACGTTTATAAATTTTTCCACCGCTTAGATTAAAATTTAATCAAAACCTCTTGCGGTTGTAATGTAAATTTATAGTAAACACTCACTTTGCGCTGAAGATGGTCGCCAACGCAAGGAAACATCCGTCCGCAACCGCAGGATTTCCGGTATAACAACGATCAACAGCCCAATCTAACAAAGGACCTATATCCGGGTTAAATTCAAGGAGAAGGACGACAGTTTCTCTGGCAAGATTGTACACCTGAAACAATACGACAAAGGGTAATAAGGAGTAGTAAAACTTGAAATTAATTTAATTAAATACTTACTCGTTCCTCGCTACTATTAAGCAAAATATCTAACCATTGATAAAATAATCCATCATCAGCTAATCCATCAGGATCTATACAAGGTCCACAACATAATAATGCGCTCATCGCTTGCAACGCGGCAAATTGAAGCTCGGTACATTTTTTATGAGATTGGTCACCCTCTAAATTAGGTGTTTGTCGAAAAGGTAAACCATATTTCCCTGACCACGTTGAAAATAACATAAAAAGATTTTTTCTTAAGTCTCTTTTAAGTAAAGTTTGGCAAGTTTCCACTAAAAACAAAAATTTTAGAACATCAAAACTGAAAAAACAAAAAATCTTACATGAAAAACTTTTAATCATTTTCGTAATAAAACTACAAAAATGTAACGTAATCTCTTTAACAGCGCTAGTATGTTTATCCGGCTCACTCTCGAGATAAAGCCTCGCCCCATCCATATACTCCAAAAAAGTTAAATGTAAGGAACCGGTATCTCTATCCAAAACAAAAGGACTAACACCAAACGTTCCTTGTTCCGCAACCAATTCCAGAACTTTAACCAATTGAAGACGTAACGCATCACGACGTCTCCTTCGCCTAACATTCTCTTGCTTTCTGTCAACTGCTTCCCTAATGTAAACCACCAACTCCTCCATGACATCCCTAAATGAGATGATTTCGCGAAATAGTGGAGATCCAATTACGAAAATGTTTCATAAACTTACTTGAGAGCGTCGCTGTTCACATTCCCAATAGCTAAAACTGCTGTGTCCCTGACATCGCTAACTTCGCATCGTAAAAGGGGGACAATTAATTTGTAAAGAGCCCCAGGTGAAACGTTACCGCCAGGAGTTTTTGTGTCATTTCGTTCCGCACTTAAACTATCCGGAGATGAGCTAAATAATATAATTCAATTAAAATTATTTTTTAGTTTTATTAATTTATTAAAGTTTGAAGTGAACATGTTTTTACAGCTTCAATGCTTAAAAATGTTTAAAATGATGTTTAAACTGTAATTGTTCATTTTCTTAATTTATGAATGTAAAAAAAATATTTCTAATGGTTATATGCTTGAAGAAAACGGAGAAAAAATTAGAGTTAATTGAAAGGGTGAGTATTAACATTTAAAAAGGAATTATCTTGCTACTAAATTAATTTTTAATAACTAATTTTTCAAATTTACATAAACCATCAAAATTATTCCCTTTTAAAAAAACCTTGTTTTTGCAAGAATATATAACTAAACGAGACATTCACCTGGTTCTTTTATGTTTTCGCATCGCAGACAAAGGCAACGTTATCCGGCCTGTTGAAATGCAACCCTGCGTCTGCGCTAAATTATCTAGGCTCACGCTAAAGGTACGATCACCACCCCCGAGGGTACCGTCAATAGAACTTCAAATAATAGAGTTAGCATGCTCTCGAAACCTGAACGAACTAATAAGTGTATGACAAAGCTTTCATGCATTCCAAAAACAGAATTTCGCCCCTCACCAAACATAAAAACCAATTTTAAAAGATAACACATCGCAAAGATAAACTCAAAACGTAATTTTTAAATAAAAACACCAAATTAAAGGTTTAAACAAAGCTAAAAGAGTATAACAAAAAAGGTTATAAAAGCATTTTTTAAGCTAAAGCTGTGCTTTTTATTAGTTATTTAATTATTAATTTAAATTAAAAGTTAGAATGGTTTTGCAATTTATTTTAACTTACCTTAAACTTAAATCGGGACTTGCACATCTTACTATTGGACTTGGAACAGGAGGAACAACATGGAATGCAAAAGTAACGTAATTTTTCCAAAGATGAATGTAAATATCGCGTTCGTTAACTGGCTTTTTAATTGTTGTTGAACTTCGTAATAACGAAGCGCGATTATCGTTAACGGGACTATAAGAAATAAATTAAACAAATAAAGTTTAGGAATTTTTTGAAGAATTAAATTAACTTACGTTGGATCAATAACTGGAAATAATGCATTGATTCTAGTAAAAACAATCGGCCAAGCATGATTAACCAAAGTTGGGCAATGAGTTAAAATTCGATCTCTTTGTAAAAATCCAAATAAACACATACTCCAAGGATCGATAAAGTTTAATCCAAAACTTGATCCAATTCTACTATCTGATAAAAAAGAAATAATAAATAAAATCTGTGAAAGAAAATCAAATTAAATCCGCATCATTTAAAAAACTAACTTGATCCTGTATATAATAAGATTAATTTAGAGCTAAGATGGGGCTACTTTAGCTAGCCCCACAGTATTCGGTTCTTACTCGATCGATTTTCCCAAGTACCTTTTGGTTTAATATTACGTTATATGGTTGGATAGAAATTAACATAAGCTCAAAATTCTTAGATTTCAACTTATATTTCTTACTTGCAAATTATTGGAAAGTTATAGTGCCCGATTTGAAATCTTATAATTTCGTTAAAACGCTTAACGACATATTCACGTCGTTAATTAAGCCGAAATGAAGGAATTTAGGAAATTAAGCCGAAAAACATGCAAAAATCGCTGTTCTTAAATAACTATAATTTTAAGGTGTATGTTTTATTTGTAGAGAACACAAATTTTGTCTCCATTTTTGCTAGTTAACCTTGTACAGATCCCTAAAAAACAACTTCTTCTCCAACAGACGTACAAGCTCCAATTAGACGGACTTGAATCTACAATAAATCGGTGATAACGAGAGAACTCTTTGCGAGCATTTAGTGATTTATATTTCTATCGAATGCTTGCGTCATGCTCTAAATAAGAAAGTCAACGTTATCAAAGGGAAATTATTAAAATGTTATGTAAATGCAATAAACACAATAAAACCATTCAATTCAATTTTTTATTGGTTTATCGATTTTTATGAATAACATTTCAATCAATACCTTGAGCCTAAATCGAACAGGATATCTCGAGGTAGATCTTTATATTAAATGTCAATATCAATATACAGGGTGAGAAAATAATTCCAGTATAAGAGAAATAAAAGAAGACACAGTAAGGAAATATTTGAGCATATAGAATGCATAAATAATCTAAATAATTCTAATGAAACCTGATGCAATAAACAAAGCAGCGAAGAGAGTTATAGAAATAAGACATAGTAATACATAACACGTGGAAGCTATACACATAATTGGCTTGGATGCAGTTACAAAGTAGCTGAACAAACACAACCCGAAAATAAAAGCTAGCAAGCTAAGGAAATAATAAATAAATAAAGAAATAAAGAAAGAAATAATGCACAAGCTATCATAGCTATAAGAAGTTGGCGAATACTACAAAGGAGATTTGAACTGGGTTTCAGTAATATAATTTAGAAATGACAATATGATGATTATAGATGTTAATCACTTGGCTTTACTATAAGGTACGAAAAGGCCGACCAATATAAAAACAATGTCAAAATGAAGTCAATGATATGTAATATCCGATATAAGAAGAAAAATGAGACAAGGTAAGTTTATGATAGTTTTAAACTGACTCTAAAATCGCAACAATGGCATCAAGAAGAACTGTAAGATTGCTGGATAAAAAAGTTAGAAAGGAAAGTGCATAAATAAATATACATGGGAAACAATTAAAGTAACAAATCTACCAATCGCAAATACACTAGAAGCGAATAAACACAAAGCAAATAAACTTGACTAGAAGCACGGAACCGATGAATGAAGTAACATAAACAAAAAGCGAATAGGATTTTTATGACAGAAACGAATAAAAATAAGATTGGTTGGTATCATTGGTATGCAAACAAAAATTGAAAGGAAGTAGAGTAATCCGTCGTCGAACACGGTGTACGTGTATGAAATTCAACTTAGGGACATTGCAAAAGTTATAAACGGTAGAGAAGAAAAAAGTTATTCTAGAACCAGACTAAATAGCAGAAAAAACCTACCCATTTTGAACAAACATTTTTGTGGTGGCGGTATTCCAAAGACAAATAGATGCGTTAAGACGGTTAAAAGTAGCGATGACGCATTTAACAAATTAATAATATTCATATGTCATTAATTTTGCATGCAGAAATGAAATTTTTGGTAATATTTTTTTCATGTTTCGACAAGTATATAGTTACTCTTAACGAGTTGTTCAAGAACTTTTAATTGATACTAGACATTATTTACTAATCATTCTTTATTTGATATTTAGATCGGGCATATCGTGTCAAATTATGTCTTGCACAGTACATTGAGTATTTGATATACCATAAGATATTTTTACTTTAAGCCAGTAAGACTTTAAGGCTACTAGATCATTTAATTAGAATGCGTGCTATATTCAAATAAAACACAGAATAATTAAATTTTGGGCTAACAGGTATTCCAGGTGCAGTCCACATCTTATAATTAACTATGGAATTCGATATCGTTCAGATGACCACCACGAGTACGTTTGCAGCAAACGACGCTTTGGATACAACTTTCACACATATCCAATCACACCTCCGGCATGAAATTCACACCACACTGTAATTTTTTGTAGTTGTAATGGGAGTCTTTTGAAACACATGTGAGTTGGTTGCTGTCCAATAACCCAAATAAATGTTTAATCAACCAACATTATTAAATGTTTTTGCAGATCGTTTACTGAAGAAGATGCTGGACTATGAGCTTCATATAATATTTCATTGTTAATCGCAAATGTGGACAGGCATAATCAGGAAAATTCTTTTGACAACCTTATCATACGCTTATTTGAAACGTTGACAATTTTCCATTCACCTTAGTGAATTCAGTCTACCTAGTAATGAAGATTGCTTCATTACTAGGTAGGTGAGACTTTTTGTATGATAAAAGTATCGACTTTTATCATACAAAAATAAAAAAGAAGCCTACCCGAAATACTTTCGAATACCAGAGAAGGAGCGTAGACATACGGGAAATAACACTACTCAACATCAGCCATATTTTGGAAGATACAAAGATCTAATTAACATTCAGTTAACACGTTAAGTATGATGCGAGGCACCAGTGCCTCGAATGAAGTTCAAGCCATAAGAGCTGTCGTACTTAACGTGTTAAATACAAGACCTCTAACTATAAATGGACATAACAGCAACCAGTTGAGTTCGTGTTTTTAAATTTGAAAATCTTCAGATCCGCGGTTTAGAAAAACTCACGAGTTAAGTGATTGTCCAGTTTAATGGCAGTCCTAAGCAATGGTAATGGTAACAAATATGATTTGATTTCAATTACTGACTCAAACAAAATGATACATTGTATAAAAATATAGGTAATGGAGAAAATAAAATATAGTGAACATCAATGAGTTAAATGTGAAAACCCAAAAATTATAAACGTTCTCCTTGGCCAACAAAGCGGATACACAAAGATACCCTGCAAACTGAAACAAGATCATTGGAATCAGACACAAGTGGCCTCTGAAGAAGAGAATTGTTATTCGGAAAACTTTAGACGAACGAAATAAAATTATGTCTCCTCCCTTACATATACAGTTAGAGTTAATGAAGCAATTTGTAAAAACTTCTGATCACAAGGGACCATTATATGCATACCTTGTCCAAACAATATCATCCTAAAAATAACTAAAGATGTAGTAATAACAATGCTAGAAACACAAGTACAAATAGTTCGCAAAAATATTAATCATACGGCGTATGTAGATGATACACTGCGAACAATTTCATCAGCTGTCATTGAAGAGATGGCGCAAGAGTAATATTTTCATTTCCTGAAATTGTTATACTCCTATTTTATTGTAACCACGCTTTTATTACCTCAGTTTATTACTGTTCCTATAAAAACTAAGGTTTCAATATAATAAAGTATCACATCGTTTAGCTAAAAGAGCGATATAATTTTTCATTATATGGAATGACTTACATTATTCCAAAATATACGGACATTCCCATATTTTACATAACCCGAAGAGTGATATTTAAACATATCGTGAAATACTAATTGAAGTCTAACGAATTCCATTAGTTCAGGTATGAGATTTACCCGCACCCACTACATTAAAATTATCAAATATACAACAATCAATATTTTACAGTACAAACTGAACTCTGGTTTTAACTTTGATTTCATTTTGGGTTTAACTTGTATGTTTTAAACATAAAAGTACATATTTACATGAAAATTAAGATTATAAAAAGACCTCCATTAATACCTTGATTTTCAGAATTATTAATAAAAAAACATATATCTATACATCAGATATCATTTTAAAAATAAACAATTTTATTACTTACCAACTTTGCTTGAGCCATCTTCATGTAAACCAGCCGTCCAAATACAAGCATTTCGATCCGCTAACCATTGAAGATCTATATTAGAAACTGCTTGAATCGCTGATTTTTCTGTTGCTGGTAAATGTGGAATACATTTTTCAATAACCTGATTTATACATTGATCGATAACATCAATTGCAACTTGATCTTCAGAACAATTTAATAATTTGATTAATGTTTTAACATCTCTTAAAATATGAACTGCGTGTCTTCTACATGATAAACGATAATTACATAACATGACCAAAGCGAAAGCTTCGACGAGATGCAAAACGGAAGATAAAGGTTCAGGTTTTTGATTATCTGTTCGATAAGTGGCGGCTGTATCTTTTGTGAAAGTTGGTTTCGCGTTTTCAACATCTTTATTATTAATCCGCATTGTGTTCGAATTATTTCCGGAATTATTTAAAGACATTTTCCAAGCGGTTAATAATTGATATAACATTTTTAATCCTGCGTCAACTAAATTTGGAAACGTATCCAATACATCACGAATTAAGAATTGTGTGTAACCCCACAAGACATCTTGTCTCCAATCGGGAAAATCCATCACCAAAGTTTGCAAACTTTGTAAAGCTAACCCTTGAAGTTCACCGTCCATATGAACAGTTAATCTTGATAATAAATCAACTAATTCGGTTCCAGTCATCCCGTCAGGAATTAAACGCGGCACAGCAGCAACACAAGTTCTAAACAAATCAATTCTCGGTTTACGTTCACCCGTTATCATCTCATCTGGTTCTTTATTAACGTTTTGTGTACTCGTTTTCATTAGAGGCCGTCCATACTGAGCATCTAAAGCTCTTAAAATATCAACAAAAACTCGTCTTACATGAGGAAAATAAGCGGACATTCCAATACTCCTTGCAGTATCTTCAGTTAACATTTTATTTAAAAACGTTTTTCTTACGCGTAATGTATTTCCACTTGGTAAAATCCCCATCGATCTCGGCATTGGAGGTTCACCTTCTTTTTGTTGTAAACCATCAGCGACTACCAAAAAAGCTCTCAAACCTATATTCATTCTTTCAGGTGTTAGAATTATTTTAATAGGCCGACCAACGGAGAGAAGATCAAAGACAATCTCTTTCATTGCAAAATCTAAACGTTCCTGAGCTATGAATTGAATTATTTTTACGAATATGTTTAATGGAGTGTCTCTTGGGACGACACCTTTCGATCCTTTGGGAAATAATGAATTAACAATGCTTTGTAAACGAGATTGGGTCGCCGAATTACTTTCACATTTTATACGAATCATATAAACCCAAAGTAAACGATGTAAAGCTTCTGTTTATGTAAAAAAAGTAATAAATAAATAATATTGTTATTTAAAAATTAACTCTTTAACGCATTTTTATACACATTTCTTAATATATACAGGGAATACTAAATGTCTTCAGTTCTTATTATTGTTATTATTCATTATACAAAAAGAAAGACGGCGCTGCGTCAAAAGAAACTTTCCCTTCATCACAAACTTTTTATTACGTGCATGTTATAGAGCATCAAAAACTGTGCAACTTTCCTTATTAACATTGATTTCAAAACTTAGTAGATTCGAAGATATTTAACATTAAAAAAAAAAGAATTGAAATAAAATTATTCATATAAACCAAAAAGGTGATCACAACAATATTTTCTAACATAAATAACAAAACATTAACAAAATAAAGAACAGAATTACATTTTAGGTTACCAAATGAATTTTTCACCATAACAATAATTGAAACAACAAAAAAAGACATAATAACTGCAAAATTACTTCCATTTTCATGCACGCACAATTCGAATCGTCTTACCAATTCAACATTACATATTCTCACAGCACTATTTGTACCAATCCATCGTCATGCAAAGCTGCGGTTCAGGTACTGAGTCACTATCTGTGCGTTATGTGGAGGTGCACCATCTTGGTGAAACCACGTCGGTCTTTTTAATGCGCCCACCAAAACATTCAGCAGTTCAGGAAGATTGTTCTGCAACGACTCCAAGATACCATTATCTTGAGACCAATACAGATTGCTTTGCTTGGATACTATTCCATTATTATGGAAACGACTCTCGTTGCATCACAGAATGTTATTGAGAAAGTTGTCTCTACGCCAAAACTAAAATTTCAGCCAAAAACTGAAGTCAACAGATATCGTCGCTTGGTTGTAAATGTTGAACAAAATTGCACTTATACGGCAAAAATTTATTTGTTCTTTTTAAATTCGATGACATGTAACAGAAATTTGCGCATTCTCTTATTTGTCGCAATGGAATGGACATTTGCATGGAGTTTTACATAAAGCTAGACTATCTTTGTGGATTTGTCGTAGTCTTTGTGGGAAAAATTGGGGTCTTACCCTAAAGTTTGTGAATCATGGATAAGTTTTACAAAGGTAGGTTCAATAAGTGCATCCAACATTCATTAATAGTTTTTCAATCATTTGTTGTAAATCGATTAATTAGTTTACTAGTATAAAATAGTGCTTTTTTCTTTTTTCTTGGACTGTAAAACTTTGAATTGATGCAGATTAATCATTAAAATGGTCTTATATTTATATTATCCATTAATATAAGGTGCCTAAATTTGCCTAATGGAGAATTATGCTTGTTTCAGTATCTGAAAGTGTAAAAAGCGATCTTTCTGAGATTTGGAATACTCTAAATGATTCATCAGCTGTTTACACGCAATTTTATGAACATAGTGACATAAAAGATTATAATGACGAAGATTACTGTGATCTGTACAGAAGAAGGTTTCCAAGTTTTGTAGCTAAGCAAATCAAAAATGGAAGCAATGTAACCGAACAATGGCAGTATTTAAGTTAAAAAATAAGGCGTGGTTAGAAATACTCTTCAATTGACTTCAATGACGGATCTCGCTCAAAGTCTTTTTCCGAAGTAGGTGAATCTAAACGAAGGAAAGTAGCATCATTACTAGAAAGAGCACAATCCCAAGAGCTGGGGTACACAGTTGGAATGAGCCTAAACCGTGAAGGTAAAAGAAATACTGCTACTATTGTTAAGCATGTGTTAAATTTATCACCCAAGAGTGCTTCCGAAATAAAACGACGTATTTCATCCCCAGACGAAAAACTGTCCATAAAAGTTTTCCAGAAGATGCGCTGGCCCACTATGTTGACAATAAGTTTACTACACAACAATATAGCTACTTTACTTCCAGCTATTGGAAGCACAACTCCCTTGCCATCATCAACAAAGTACTCTAGAGCAATTAAATTAGTACAAAGAAAAAAGAACTAAACAGTTCAAATTGAGGTAGAAAGTATTGAAGAACAAATAAAGGAATGACATCTTTAGAGATTCAGTATGAAAATAAATCATATACGTTTTATCCTAACTTTTATTTCACTGTGGTTGATGGGAAAGTTGTAAGCAAGTTATCAGTGCAAAATTGTCATCTTTGTGGGGTAACACCTAAAGAAATAAACAATTTAGATGATGTACTTAAGAAAAATAATTAACAATGTAAATTTGAAGTATAGTATTACATGCTTGGATAAAGTGCTTCGAATGTTTACTTCGTTCATATAGTCTACAGAAGACATAAAAAGTTGGAAAATTACAAAATTATTGAACGTAAAAGTTGATAAAAGGAAATTCAGGTCGATATTCAGAAACCGGGTTTTGGAACAACTAATGACAGGAATACCGTCAGAAGATTTTTCAAGGTCCAAATCACTCAGCTAACATTACCAGACTGGATGAAGACCCAATTTGCCTGTTTGCGGTAATTTCAGTAACAATTTCTTCTGGATTTGCAGTTGATTCTGCCAAATTCCATGAATATTGCGTAAAAACAGCAAAAATATTTGTTAAGAATTATAATTAGTACTACATGCCTCAAAGCGTGCATAAATTATTAATTCATGGAGGCCAAATAATAAAAATGTACCTATTGGTCAACTTTCCAAAGAGACCCAGAAAGCCCATAACAAAGATGCTAAATATTTGCGGGAACATAATACAAGAAAATTTTCTAGAAAAGATACGATGGAGGATTTGTTTCACCACTTATTAATTTTCAGCGATCCGCTGATTACATCTCTTAGACGCAAGAACTACAAGAAGTCTTCATTCTTTATTGTTGCCTATTGATGTTGTGGTATTGTTAACATCGCCAGATGACGAAGACAGCGACGAAGACTGATCAAGGAAGCTCAAAAAGCTTCATTTGACAACAATATACCGTGTATATTTATAGAAAATCGAATTTCTCTAAATAAATAATACGTACTAGTGATGGAACGGATTATGATTTTGCGAAAAGCTGGATACCGCGCTGGATATGCGGCATCCCCTTCGGCCGGATATCCGGTTATCTATCCGTCCATTATGGTTATAATTTCTGGTGCATTTCTGAAGTGATACCCTACATTGCCACATTATTGCCATATTTGAATAAAAATTAAATGAATAAGAAAGCTGATAAGATATGTCAACTTATTTGGATCCAAGATACAAAATGAACTTTTTTGATGCTGATTTAACTAACGAAGCAACTCTAAAAAGAGAATACTTTCATTAATAATTGGCGATATTTCCACAAGGATCCTTCAAGAAATGAATTTTATAGCGAATTTTGAAAGTTATCGATGAAAATTGCAACATCGAAAATTTTATCAAAACTTCAAATATTGTTTTCTTAAAAACTAAAAGTTATTTTTCAAAACATGTTTTTCATTGGAAAGAGGACACTTTTATTAACACTTTGGGAAATCTTCAAACTCATATTCCAAGAAATGGATTTTATACGAATTTTTAAAACTTAATCGGCGAAAATTGCAAAATTCGAAAAAATTGTCGATCATATCAAAAATTTATTTCTCAAAAACTAAAAGTGATTTTTCAAAACGGCTTTTTGCAATAAAAAGAGGATACTTTAATTAATAATTGGTGATATTTCCACAA